AAAAAAAAAAAAATTTTTTTTTTATTGACAGGGTCTCTCTATGTTGTGCTGGTCTTGAACCCCTGGGCTCAATCAATCCTCCCACCTCAGCCTACCAAAAAGTTTCTCATCTTTAAATGGACTCTGACACTGGCCTGAGATCTCAAACTGGCATTGCATGAACTGGACCCCATGGGAACCTGCTTTTCCAAAGGAAGTCAGAGGAAGGAAGTCAGAGGTAGGTGCTTCCCCCGGCTCTAGGCCCCGCCTCTTCCTGTGGTTTGCAGCCCCTGGCACCCACAGCACCTCCTAAGACCCCACGTTCCCTGCTGAGGGTTGCCGCATTGTGTGCTGACCATTGGAACCTTCCCTGGCCAGGTCAGGGTCCTGTCACCACATTGTCTAGAGGATAGCAGGTGCTCCTGAAGCATTTCTGAATTGGACCATATGTGAAATGTACACCAAACAGTTTTTAATAACCTGTTGCTCCTGGAGTAATTGAATTCACTGCTGTTGAACCTACCCTGGGCCTGAGGAACTGGCTCAGACGAGACTGAAGGAGACTGAAGGCACATGGCACCTGCAAGCAACATGGACCCTGCAGTGGATCTTATGGAGGGGAAGTGCTAGACAGGGTGTCCGTGGGCCAAACGACTAACTGGAATATGAGCAGACAGATGCATGCATGCATGTTACACTTCCTAAGGCCGGAGTTGGAACGGCAGAGTAAGGAGCTTAGCAAATCCGCTCCCTAAAAGGTATCATCAGCAAAACAGGATAAAATGGTCAAAACCACCATTCCAGGACTGGAAAACAGCCAAAAGCATATAGCACTTTGAGACATGTTTGCTTAAGAAAAAATACCCTGGTGTCAGAAATGGCATTTTTGCCCAGGCTTTTTCTAGCCCCACTTACCCTCAACCCCCAACCCCCATTCTGGAAATCTGCTAGGCAGGGGAAGCCATGGGGCCCCGCAGCTTTACTGCCTGCTGGGGCTGGCTGGATTTGAAGCGGGTGTAGTGGCAGTCTTGGGAAAGGCCAATGGTGTCGCCAGCCTCAGGTCATAATAGGAGTTGGGCAAACATCAGACCAATAGACTAGTCAGAAATTTGCGAGATTTGGAGAATGAGAACCATAGTGGGCCTTGATAAGTGCCCACATGTCCATGGCAGTCTGGAAGACCAGGTGTATGTGCAGGGCTGTGCAGAACACCCAGGAGAAACTGCAGAGTCCTAGCTAGCTATAGACTCAGCCCTGTATCTGTGGATTCAACCAGCCATAGATTGAAAATAGTAAAAAAAGTGGACAGGGAAGGGGACTCATGCCTATAGTCTCAGCATTTTGGGAGGCCAAGGTGACCAGATTACTTGAGCCCAGTAGTCAAGACCAGGCTGGCTAGCATGGTGAAACCCTGTCTCTACATAAAATATAAAAATTAGCTGGGCATGGTGGCATGCACGTGTAGTCCCAGTTACTTGGGAGGCTGAGGTGGGAGAATCACTTGAGCCTGGGAAGGGGATGTTGCAGCAAGCTGAGATGGTGCCACTGCACTCCAGCCTGGGTGACAGAATGACACTCTGTCTCAAAAAAACAAAAAAAATAATAATAATACAGTTGTGGGGGAGCATAAGAAATGGGAAAGGTTAATGGGTACACAAATAGAGTTAGATACAATGAATAAGCTCTAGTATTTGATAGCACCACAGCGTGACCACAGTCAGCAGTAATTAGTTGTACATTGTAGAATAACTGAGGGGCGTAATTGGAATGTTTACAACATGAAGAAACAATGAATGCTTGAGGTGATGGATGTCCCGTTTACCCTGATGTGATTATTACATATTACACACCTGTATCAATAGCTCATGTACTCCACAAATATATACACCTACTAAACACCCATAAGAATAAAAATGTAAACACAAAAGACAGTGTGACAACTATTTATAAAGCACTTATAGTGTGTTAGGTGTAGGTAGCACAGTGGGGACCTGACATCTGTGAGAGGGCTGCACAGGTTATACACAAGTACTGTTCGATTTTCTATAAGGAAGCTGGCTATCTGTGAGTTTCAATATCTCTGGAACCAAATTTTGGGTTCTGGAACAAACCCCCAGTGGCGACCAAGGGTTGACTATACTGTATATCTCTGGCTGAACATGAGGCCTTGTGCCTGTCCAGGGGAGATGTGAAACCTGACAAAATGGGAAAGCTGGGGCACATTTGTGCACTGCCTGAACTCTAAATGCATTCCCTAAACCACACACAGATCCACTGGCAAAGCGTGGAAGCCTTACTGGTTAAAGGTGTTTAAGTACATTTGACCAATCATTGGCAGACCACATACGCTAAGCCACAGGCAACTACTAAGACGCTAGACTTAAAAATAAAAATGGCCAGGCATGGTGGCTCACGCCTGTAATCCCAGCCTTTGGGAGGCTAAGGTGGGTGGATGACCTGAGGTCAGGAGTTCAAGACCAGCCTAATATGGTAAAACTTCGTCTCTACTAAAAAACAAAATTAACTGGCCGTGGTGGTGCATGCCTGTAATCCTAGCTACTCAGGAGGCTGAGGCA